CTCCATCCTCCACGAGAGGTGGTAGTTATGTCAGCCATACCTCTGAGGCTAGGTCTACACTGGGTGGGGATCAATTTAAGATACGCAAATTCAGCTACGCGAGTAGCGTAGCTGAATTCGACGTATCCTTTTCGACTTACCCCTCTGTGAGGACGGTGGCAAATTGACCGCCGCAGCTCCCCTGTTGACAGCGCTTACTCCTCCTGACGAGGTGGGAGTATGTGCGTCGATTCGGGGATCGATTTATCCATCTAGATGAGACATGATAAATTGATCCCCGAGAAATCGATTTCTACCCGCCGATCTGGGTGGGTAGTGTAGACTAGCCCTGAGCTACATAGTTATACAGACATAAGTTGGTAATGTAGACCAAGCCTAAGGGTTTGATGCAGACCTTAGATATAAGAGCATATATTGCTACATTTCTTGCACAGTCAGCTATTATGTGTGTACAGTATATGCATACACTTTACACCTATTAAAAAGAAATAGATAGTATGCTTAAGTGTGCCCGCATTCCTCAGGCTATGTTTGAGGTACTGATTTAACTTCTGTAACTCTTCAGTGAGAAGAGCAACTCTCCTTTCTCTCTGTGCTTATCTTTCTATTTTCCCCTCTGCCTCAACTCTACAAATCCAGGCTCAGACCCTCAGCAGATGTAAATTGTAATAGCTTCATTGACTTCATGAATCCATTCAAAGTTACACCAGCTCAGGTTCTGTCCACCAGCCAGGGCCGGCTCCAGGGTTTTGGCCACCCCAAGCAACCAAAAAAAAAAAAAGTACGCGATCTGCGGCGGCAATTCGGCGGGAGGTCCTTCGCTCCCAGGCGGAGTGAGGGACCGTCTGCCAAATTGCCGCCGAATACCTGGACGTGCTGCCCCTCTCCGGAGCGGCCGCCCCAAGCACCTGCTTGAGAAGCTGGTGCCTGGAGCTGGCCCTGCCACCAGCCTCCAAACTCTAATCTCTTCCTTAAGGGGGTAACATTTCATGCACAACATTACATAATGGGCCACATTAACCTGTGGTGCAATTCCATGGATTGCAGTGGAGTTACTGCAGGGATGAATTTGTTCCATACCATTTGCTGAACAGCAAACATATAAGGAAAATTAGCACCAATAATTATACTACTACATTTAATCCACAAATGCTTTTGAAGTTACTTTTGGTTAGTTAAGAGCTGAAGGCCTGCAAACATCAGGGCTTTAATATATCTTTAGTAATATCCTTGGCTTTTAAAAAATGACAAAGTTTTAGAATTTAGATTCCCTTTACGCATTCATCAGAATTACAAGCTTAAGGGGTATAAGGTGACCTAAACCATGCTTATGCTGGAAAACTAACAGTTTTTCAAGAAAAACTGGGTTAGGACATTATTAGATTATATTCATAATAAAAGGCTAACAATTACTTATAGAGCCTTCCTAGCATTAGTCAGAAATAACCCTTTTCCCCCCTGAATGAACAGTGCCTAGGCAGTAGGGTGAGTGATTCTCTATAAACACTTTAGACAGACAGGAAAAGATTCCTTTATTACACTAAAGTGTGACAAATCATTCCTATTTTACAGGGGGAAATGATTATTTTTCCATAATGAATTCCCGGATAGGTGCGCTGAGTTCCAGGGACTAGGTATGTAGCATTTCACTCTTTGTGTCACCACATCCTTACAGTTTTTGCAGAGTTCTTCTAAACTGAATAAGCAGCTTTATTTTTTCCAACATCAGTCCTTCTGGCACAAATGGTTCATTACGATATCAGCATTTACCTTCATCACATATCTATGGTGCCTGCCTCACTCTCACAGCAGGACCCTTGCATTTCTCCTACCCTGCTAGGATTTCAATCTGTTAGAGGCTAACAAAACTGATTTATTTTTATTCAGAGTTTCAGGCTTCTGTCTTATTGGCTTCTCTAACATACTGTTCCCATACATCGATGAATTTGCTACATCTAAACATACAAGTGACACTGTTGCAGACACATGTCGAGAATTTACAGCTACATGTAAGGTCTAACATTGGCTTTGATGGGTCCACTAGCAGATGGATTTCCAGATTCACTTTCACAAACATGATTTACTATAATACCTTTCCTTTCTACTTCACCTTTTTATATTTCTACTATTGTGAGTCTGATTTAGTATTATGCTTGAATTTCCTCTAGTTTTCTTTTTTAATACTCAGCTCTTTGAATACACATTGAGTCAAATATTTCTGCTTTAATGTTTCACATGCAGATTATGATATACATAATACTTTCTTGGTATACAAAGCCTTAAATTTTAGCTCTTGCTCTTGAATGCCTTCTTGCATTCTCTTAGTCTTACAGGGTTTTGGCTTATCCAATTTACACCTGCCCTTCAAGGATTTGTATTTCTTTTATTTCCTGATACAGATTATCTCTCATTTGATCTTGGACTGATGTCAGATCTTTTCTGAACAGCCGGAGGATATATATATATATGTGGTCGTTACAGCTCAGAGCTCTCTCTTACAGATAAGACATTGAATTCTTGAGCTATGTGTTTTGACTGGACTCAGAAGTATTTCAAGAACTGCTAATATTTAGCTCTGCTGTGATTTCTTGAAACAACAACTTTCTTCAGAGTCTATCTCATTTATGTGTATAAATCCAGAATGCAATGTGTTCATATATTTGGTACACTAGTTCTGGGAATTACAGAATCAAAAAATGGAGATAATGAATCATCTGGCTGAAATCCACGGTGCAGCCAATATTCCTCAAACACATATTCTCAAATCCTGTTTTTGTTTAACTAACACTAATCCAAAGTGTGTATTAAAAACAATTACAGGGACTCCCTACTAACATACCATATTACACTAAATGTTAACATCTTGTTGAAGTTACTGCTTATTCAGAACTTCTGCACACCCAATGGGCAGTGCAGTATGGCTTTTTTTCAAAAGTGTGAATAAGTAATCATCAAATTGCTCAATGCAAATGCAAGCATAATTATTAAAGACCAAATAATACTTACTAAGCAAAACTTGGCTATAACAAATGCCTCTAAAGTACATGTTCTCACAGAAGGTCTCTGCTAGGGAGCAAATTTTTATTTTTCATATTTTGAAAATAAAATGAGTTACCCTACATTTATATATGGTCTTGATCCTACAATTGGATTCACCTGTGGGGACTCCATCAGGGTATAAGGCTCTGCCTGTTCAGATCCCATTGTAAAGTCGAGGTCTATATTAGAAAAAACCCTATCCATAGCCTTAATGCCTGGGGAATTGAAATCCTTCATAAGAACAAATTGAAATGATGCTTGCTAATAGTTTTAGAAGGTGCTATTCTGATCTGAAGTATCTTGCCAATGATCCTGTGATTTAGGCTTCCCTAAATACTCATTAACATAACAGACCATGACATTTTAAAAGGGATCATTATAGTCTATCATATCATGATTTGTAGATAATAAGGATGTGACATACATTTCTGTTCAGATTGTTACGATCTCAGTGTCAATGGGATAAATTATAGACTTTTCTAGTATGTTTTCATGTTTAACACTACTGTTGACTTAGACAAAACAAGATACATAAAATATAAATTAGTTGGATGATTTAAACTCATAAAATTCTCTGCATTCAGCACTAAGACTTTTCATAAATATCTTTAACTCCTACTGTTCTGAGTGGGGCCATACAAGTACGGAGGGAGGGAAGAGAGGGCATTTCAGCACATGTGATAAGTATAATTTCAGACTTCTGCAGCACGCACAATGAAATGGATTATAGAAGTCTGAGAAGGACAAGACCTATTGGATCATTGAGCCTATTCCCCTGCAAAGATAGATTTACCCAATGGACAATGTATTGGATATTATATTACCAGTTCTCCAAGCTATTATTCTCTCTGTGTTCAAGTTGTTTGTAAATTCCATTGTATTCAGGTTCGTATATCACTCATCGTGGTGTCTGTGCACCTTTAAAGGAGAAATTAAACAAGTGACTGTCTATCATGGGGTGGTACTTTTTCCAGTTTTCTCACTGGGAGGAAATATGCACAAGTGGGGTGGTTTTTGTTGTTCTGAAAGCTGGAGTGTTATGTACCGGTATTCGTGATGACATGGTCCAATACGTATGGTTTGTATTTGGACTGGAACATTTTGTAGGTATTTCCCTCCCAAAAGGAAGCCAAAAATAAATAAATACCAGAAAGAAAAGTTTATAATACCTGCCAGGTTAATTCTTCTTATGAGCTTCCCAATGTCACGTACCTTATCTTTAATGTTTACTTCAGTGGGGCTCTATGTGGGCAGACCAGTCGAGGCACCTGCTACATATTTGCAGGATTGGGGCTTTAGATTGCAAACACTTTGAGGATCATTGATGGCCTTTGCTTTGTGTGTGCTAGAGCACTGAATAATGTTTTGGTATTACTACTAATAAATAGCTGATACTGTACTTTATTTTAGCCAAAAGGCCAAGCCCTAAATTCTCAGCCTTTTCTGATTTCAGAGTAGCAGCCGTGTTAGTCTGTATCCGTAAAAAGAACAGGAGTACTTGTGGCACCTTAGAGACTAACAAATTTATTAGAGCATAAGCTTTCGTGGACTACAGCCTTTTCTGAGTGTATGTCAGACCCATAAAGTAATTTTACATACGGTGAACCTTGTCTTAAGCAAGCACCCGAAGGACCAGCAAAAATTGGTTGCCTGAACAAGAGGTGGCCTTTAACTAACCATCAGACAAAGCATTGGAAATCCTGAACGCTTTAAGTGACCCTTTAAGACAGGACATTGCCTTTCGGATGTGGTCTTTATTACAGGTTTCTCTAATAGCAATATTATCTCCTTCCTTTTGCTATTAAATAGTTAGATAGTGCAGTAAATATACATCGTGCTTTACAAAACACAGCATAAGATACATCAGGTCCAAAGATACTGCAATGTAACACAGACAAGACAAAAAAAATAAAATAAAATGGAAGAACAGTTCAAATGCAGGAGCATGTGACAACACTAGTGATAGGAAATAAGCAAGAGAATGGTTTGTGGAAGAAATGGAATTTAAGGGGCTTACATGAAGCATAAGAGTGTGTGTGGTGTGTGCACACACTATGCTTATAATCTATGGTTTATTTACTTTATTCTATTCAGTTGTACATTTTCCATGGCTATGTTTTACAGAAAACTCCTCTGAAATTCTGAATCATTGTTTCAGAAATAAGTATTTCTAAAAACCTTGATTTAAACTTATTCTTACATTATTATTTAATTCTCTGAAGTACTTTGAGAACCACTTCCCACTCAACTATCATATGAATCCAAAGAAGCTACAAACTAAGATTAATGTGAACAAACACCAGTAGATGGGAACCAGCCCCTTTTGCATGGGAATGGGCATTATCATATTTATTATTACACGTTATTTGTTAAGTGCCAATAATGAACTTGGTATTGTACAACATACAAACAATCCCTGGACAAAAAGGGCATACATTTTGAAAAAGACAGTTGCAGAATAAACACAGGAAAGCACAAAGAAAAGAATAAGTAGGAGGTTTAAGGGTTTAGGTTTGTTTTGGGTTTTGGGGGGCATTATGAAAGAAGTGAGTCTTCATTTTAAGGATCCCTACTAATATTTTTAGAAGAGATTACTATACTGTGGATCTATTTGAATTGCTATTTCTAAGTAGCCATAAACATACAATTGCAGTACATTGTTGATTCCACTAGAGGGGTCAATTGTTCCTGTATGATAAATGCTTTGCTATAACGGTGTCAAGTAGATAGCCTCCTAAGAATACCCGTTAGTTGTCACTATGTTGTAGGTACAAAACAAAAACAATATTAGTTAAAAAAATTATTTGCCCTGGTAATAAATTAACAGACAGCTACTGGACTTTTACATGGTGTTCATTTTACAAAAACCTATAGGAACACACATATGGTTCACAAATTAGTTTTAAATATTATGGTTTATATCCTGTCTATAAGTGGCATTTGCAGCTTGACTTCAGGATATATTATGTACTTATAGCCTCATTCTATTTTGAAACTGAATTATTTATTATTGGGGTAAATTTGAGGCTATATTGGAAGAACTACAATAGTAAGGGCCATACTCTAATACTCCTACTCACATAGAGAATTAATCTGACCCCACAAGCAACCCTATTGAAATCAGTGGAATTGTTCACAGAGTCCGATACTACTCAACATGAGTAAAGGAGGCATAATTTGATTTTAAGTAAAAAACACCAGGTCTATTCAATATATTGTAATCTGAGGTCAGTTTAGCCTTTCTAAAACAGTGTTATACTAAGCCACATTGTTTTAACTGTTAAATAGCAATTTAGTTTATAATTACATTTTTGTAAAGCATGGGTAGTTATAGAGATTAGTAAGATCCCCATATTTGTTTCTGATGAGTTGAAATATTGATGAGTCTCTCTATTTATTCCCTCTACTTTTGCTAATCTGCTCTCCAACTGGGTACCTGCTGCAGCAGATGAGAAAGCATTGGGAAAGAGGAAATGGAAATGCTGTAGTACAAAGTATGGTTAATAATATTTTTAATGCATGCAGAGAACTATTAAATTAAAAAAATTAATAGAGGTCAAAAGCCAGCCTCTAATTCTCTTCAGGCAAAAGAAAGAATTTATTAAAAAGCCGAAAAGGTATCCAAAGGAAACTTTCCACATTTGCTTTATGTGCACGAAATATAGACATCGTCTTGACATTCAGTTGATGAAAAAGATGAAATGAAAACAAAATTAACGCAAAAACAGTTCAAATAAGGAACATTGCCGGGGAAGGACAGCATACTGTTTTTGACATGGGCTATTCTACAGCTGCTGCTGAAGTTCTGCAGAATGCCATTTTCTAAGGAATCTCTTTGTAGAACCAGCCTTCAACATACACTTTTTTCAGTGCAGATAATCTTGGCATGGCATTATTCTACACAACATAGCAAAGCTGAAAAGCTAAAGGAAGGATAGCCAGCACTTTAGACTCTGTGATCTGTCACAGAAAAGTGGTGCACAGAGGAAAGAAGTCACAAACATGCATCAAACATGCCTTTTATTACTGCAGGTATTCATCTTCCTGACAAAAGCATTTGTTTTAATTTTAATATCAAGATGAGATTCAAATGAAGTGGATCAAATAATCCATGAGTGCATAACAAAAAACTATTAGACAGTGACACAAGTGAGGATTTTTTTGTTTGTTTTTGGTACATACTGTAGGCATGATTCTCAGTACAATTCTCCTAAAAATCTGCAAGGGTGGGGAAAGAAAAACAATGGTTCTCCATAACAATTTTAAACAGTTTTTTACAGACAAATGAAAAGTGTTACTTTGTCCTGCTCCTATTGAAGCCAATGGCCAAACTCCATCTTTACCTCACAGGGGCGAAATCCACCTCCGTGCACGAGGCCAGCATAAGGGCTATGTGCCACTTGAATCCCACTTAAGCCCTCAAAATAAGGCTTACATGGGATTTGTATAGACCATGTGCTAGGCCCTCTGCAGAGGGGTGAATTTCACCCTGGCAGCAGACCAGGTCCATTGTATCATATAAATTAGGCTTTTTCTTTACACTTAGTCCTCCTGGATTACAATTTAACTGTTTGTGCTGCTTTAATGTTGCTAATATCTGTCACTATTTTCCATGTTAACCCTTAATTTCATATTTGCTCCGGACTGTAGGGAAAACAAGGTTTGAACCTGGGAGTAAAAGAAAAAATCCATTTCCAAAACAGCGTATTATCATTTTGTATTAATTTGCTAGTATTTTACATATTCGTAGTGCCTCACAAATACACAGGAAGATGAAGAGCTTACAATTTATTTATAATTAAGAATCAGGAATGAGGTTGGGAGCAGACTGTTGGAGAAGAGAAATAGCATCGGAAGGCTAAGCAAAGATTATTCTAGGTGCAGCCATATATAAAAGATATAAATATAAATGAAAAGCAAGATTACCACCTTCAGAGCTTGTATAAATAAAAAATAAAAATTTAAATTAGAACAGGAAGGGGGGTCCTATTCTACACTCACTCACTTGGGTTCAGAGCCCCAAAATCAAGTGATTATATTACTTGATAAGGCAAATTTTGGTATTTGAACTCCCTCCCCCCCCAACCCCCCCCAGCCAAGATACTGTATTGAAGACAATATTAATTGATTCATAGAGTTTAAAGCCAGGATAGACTATTAGATCATCTAGTCTGACCTTCTGAATTTCACAGGCCATTAAATTTCCCCTGTATTAAGCAGTAACTTGTTTTTGACTAAAGCATAACTTGTGTTTGGCTAACATATATTTCAGAAAGGCATCCTCTCTGGATATGAAAAGATGGAGAATCTCCCACTTCCCTAGGTAGTTTGTTCCAATGGTTAATCACCCTCAATGTTAAAAATGTGTGCCTTATTTCCATTTTGAATTTGTCTTGCTCAGGTTCCAGAGACTGGTTCTTGTTTGCTTTTCTCCACTAGATTAAAGAGCCCTTTAGTACCTGGCATCTGCTCCCCTTGAAGGTGCTTAGACACTGTAATCAAATCACCTCTCAATCTTCCTTTTGATAAGCTAAATGGATTGAGCTCTTTAAATCATTGTGACGCATTTTCTCCAGTCCTTGAATCATTTTTTGTGGCTCTTTTCTGCACCATCTCCAATTATTCAACATCCATTTTAAAATGCAGACACCAAAACTATATGCAATATTCCAGTATTCGTCTCATCAAGTCCATATACAGAGGTAAAAATCACCTCTCTACCCTTACCTACCAAACCCCTGTGTATATATTCAAAGTTCATATTAGCCCTTTTGGCCACAGCATCACCCTGAACACATGTCGAGTTGCTTGTCCATTTTTTCCCCTATGTCACTGCTTTGCAGGA